CCCCCCAAAGTGGCCTTCGGTAGCTTTTTAAAACACCAGAAAAAGTAAGCAAAAAAAGTGCCCTTTATTTCTTCCTGGACACCCCCGTTTCAAAAATCCTGGTTCCGCCCCTGAGACTGCGGTGTATGCTCTAGAAATCATCCTCGTGGGGTTGTGTGCGATATGTCCAGTCTCTAACACTTGCCACTAGGGGGCGCCAAGATTCCGTGCAGTGCCTCTAGTGCTTGCTTGCGATTTGAGAAGTGAAAACTGAGCTTCTTTATTATTCGGTCTTTGATGGAAGACTGAAAATTGAATATAACAGTAGGACTGAGTGGGACGGAAGTGGAAGATGTAATGAAAGCTATAAATTTTTTGGTAGTCTTAAGAATATCATACAACATTTTAAACTATATATGTATATAATATCATATATGCACTTAGGGCGCAAATCCACTTTAGGCACCTTGCCGCTTACGGCTTAGGTAGGCCTATCACGAAGTGATGCAAAGATTTCTGTGTATCATCAACTGATGCGCAGACTTTCCGTATATTAAGGAATGATGCAAAAACCCTAACCCTAACCCTAAGTCATAAAGTATAACCTTGGCTTAGGTATCACGAAGTGTGTTAGGGTTATGGTTAGGGTTGAGTTAGGGTTAGGGTTTTTGCATCATTCCTATAGGCTATAGTTAATATACGAAAAGTCTGTGCATCAGTTGATGATACACAGAAATCTGTGCATCACTTCGTAATACCTAAGGTGCCTAAAGTGGATTTGCACCGTACTATAGCCCCAGGCGATTTAAACCCGCGGCAGTTAATCGAACGCGGGCTATAGTACTAGAGCTAATATGCACTATGCAGCATGTATGATGTAACCCGACCAGGACACAGGCACTTGAAGCGTTTCAATAAAATATATACGCAGGGGTCGTGTGCTGTGCACGGCGACAGTTAAATATATCGCTGTGGCTATATGCCCGGCAGCCGGGCACGGTCTTCGTTTTCCTAAATGCCCGGCAGTTCTTAACCCTAACTCTAACCCTAACCCTAAACCTAACAAAAACCCTAACTCTAGCCCTAAACCTAACCCTAACCCTAATCCTAACTCTAACCCTAACCCTTGTTTACTTGAGATAACGCAAACAATTAAAAACTGCCGGGCATTTAGGAAATCGAAGACCGTGCCCGGCAGCCGTCGGATATACGTACGCCGGCTGCCGGGCATATAGCCACTGTGTAAATATATATAACTGATAATTAATAATATAAACTATATATTTAAGTTAACTGTCGCCGTGCACAGCACACGACCCCTGCGTATATATTTTATTGAAACGCTTCAAGTGCCTGTGGACCAGGCTGTGTGACTAACGTCAATATACACAGGGCTCCAATATAGGTAAACCGACCAGGCTCTCCGACTGTTACACGTCGTAGGAGCCTGACACCCTTCCATACGAAATGCCTGGTAGCTTGAAAACAAACTCCGAATTTCGTAAAATTTCTTCGCCAACGTAGTTTAGTGGCCCTAGGGTTAGCCGACTACGGTACGACAGGCGTTATATTATATAGTTAACACGTGTCCTAGTTGTTTGGATTCAGTGTTCGCTCCTTCCGTTATATTAGGCAGGACGGTGATGCCCGTAGCAAATAACAGGTAGTACCAGCTAGTGGAACAGAACACAGTTAGATTTGGTTAACTGTACGGTTATAGTTTTATTGCTTCCTACTAGTTTACAAATAATTCCCCTGCATTCGTATATGCAGCGGATCCTATAACCACTAGACTAACATTGAAGAATTAACGCGTCGCGCGCGCCGGTTTCGTCTTCCCCTCTTACGTTCGTCCTCGCCTCGCATAGACCTAGGTATCTTCCACGGGTGTCTCCCTCGTAGTCGCTCCTGGCTCTACCTAACTGAAATCCCGTTCTTCTCCACCTGTAGTGAAAGATCCCGGCTGAGCCCTCATTTTCCCTGTAGTCTTCTTTCCTTCCTGAAAACTCGTGCTTCTCTTTCCTCTGTTATCTCTCTCCTCGAGACCTAAATGGCTTTCTCTTCTTCTTCTTCTTCTTCTTCTTCCTACAGCTACCTCGACCTGAAAAATAACGCTCCCCCTCTTCGATTCAGCGCGCCTTAATTATATACCTAGCGGGCAATGCCCCCCCCCCTACGTGACTCCCCACGCAGATTTCGTTCGCTGGTGCAATCACTTTCACCTGCTGACGCAACCCGTGGCTGGTACGATGATTGCATCATTTTATGCAACTCGTTTCTAAGTAAATATTTTTCTCTTCGACAACTTAGACTATTCATTCTATTCAAATCTCCTTGTATATTATGCTGATTAATGCTGATTATATCAACGCATAACCACGTTGATTATCATACTCTATATATTGCGTAACTCTATATCCTCTCTTTAGTCAATGTATGGTTCTTCTATCTATACCGCGAGTTCAATCTATCCATCCTAATCTAGGCTACTGCCCATGTGATTTACACACCCCCGAAATCTCCACAGTAGTGTTAAGCGAGAAGGAAACTTGTGGCTACAATATCTTCTAATATAGTATAGTATCTTCTAATATAGTATAATATAGTGGGTCTTCTAATATAGGTCTTCTAACCCTAGCAAAACAGTTTCTTGGAGCTAGATCATGATGTACACATACACATGCAATCAGGATAGCCTAGAGTGCAACTGCAAGGTTTACAATTACAATTTACAGGATACAATGAGTGAATAATAGAAATATTCGTGAATAATAGAGATAATATAGATAATAGAGTGAATAACCTTTATTATTCAGTCCTGATATAATACATGTACAATACAATGCAATACAGAAGGGCGGGTCATGTCTTCTAGACTAGCTCCCAATATATTATTAGCTCTAGTGCTATGTTATTGCCACAGCCACAGGCAACAAGGAATGTGGCAACAAGGGATATAGTACTAGTAGAACTAATATTATATATTAACAGTAATGTTTAACCCTACCTATGTAATTAATGTGTCATTGTTGTTATTCCCTTTAGGTATTTTGTAGTGTATGAAGCTGCTGCACTGACCACACAGCAAGAGTACACACTTCGCCAAGGCAATAGGAACCACCGGGCCGCATCCCGCAAATTCCGGTCCGTCGACAATTCTGCATCACACTTTCTGACACGATGCTACACGTGTTAACCTGCAGCGTGGGATTTGCACTCTTGACACTCGCGTCAGCAATTCACGGAGCGAGAATGAGCAAAGGTGACGACCAACCGCGCCAACACTGCCCGCACCAGCCGCAGCGGCAGAGCCTCTACGACTACTACACTGCAGGCGGGATCCACTCCGGGCTGGAGGCGAACGGCTCTCAATTCACCCTCAACGGCAAAGAGATTCGGATCCTGAGCGGTGCGATGCACTACTTCCGCGTGCCGCGCGCCTACTGGAAGGATCGCCTGCTCAAGATGAAAGCTGCCGGCCTGAACACTGTTGAGACGTACGTCGCGTGGAACGCACACGAGCGTCGCCGCAGTGACTTCGACTTCTCCGACGGGCTCGACGTTGTTGCGTTCGTCGAGACGGCGCGCGACGTCGATCTGTTCGTCATCTTCCGGCCCGGCCCCTACATCTGCAGCGAGTGGGAGTTTGGCGGGCTGCCTGCGTGGCTGCTGCGCGACCCAAACATGCGCGTGCGCACGACCTACGCGCCGTTCATGGCCGCCGTCGATGACTACTTCGCCGCGCTCATCCCGCTCGTCGCCGGTCTGCAGTTCACTGCCGGCGGCGGTCCGATCATCGCTGCGCAGGTGGAGAACGAGTACGGCACGTACGTTCTCGACAAGGCGTACCCCGTCGCCGTGATGGACTCGTTGGTGAAGCACGGTGAGCCATTAATATGGTAATGTGACCCAACACAAGATTAGGACTACTCTTGTGTTGGGTTCGATTATTGTATATAGGTGAGGCCTAGCTCTACCCACGTGGCTCTGTGCCCCCACTACATGGCTATAGGATGTGCAGGGCTAAGAATGTCTGATTTAAATAGTGGTGGTGCTAGTTAGCCAAAGGTTTCCTGCCATTTCCCAGCGCTGTGGTTCGAATATCTAATTATCTATATGGGTAGGGCCTAGACATAGGTGAGCCCCAGCCAAAGTCTGTCTGGATTTTATACTTGCAACAGATATCTAAATAGCCATTTTATTAGTATCTAGACATGTTATCATGTGTGACATGTATCAATATATCTATGGTCAGTCCTGTGTAAGCACACTATATTACCGGCCCAGTCCCTACATATATTACGTTGACACGATGTTTGAGATATGTAATATACGATGATGTTACGTCATTTTCTTGGCAGGCTTGCGAGAGCTGCTGTTCACTTCTGATTCGGCTACGGACTTCGATGCCGGCGGCAGCATCCCTGGTGTTCTTGTTACAGTCAATTTCCAAACGGGAGCCGCTCACAGTCTGGAGAAGCTACAGGAATACCAGCCTGACCGACCTCTCATGGTAAACCTTCCTGCCTTGTTAAAGTTAGAGTGGTTTGTAATCACTTAGTCAGTAGGACTGTTTGCATGCCCTCTATAATGAATTTATGAATGCAATATTTTATTATCATATAATTACGTAACGGATAATTGTTACCGCGAAACGATACATATTAAATGTAAACAAGAAATTTAAGAACTGAAATAGTTAAAAGCTTAAAAAACGCCATTCCAGAAGTGACAGATGCGAGATATTCATTCCTGTTGTTTTTTCACCGTGCCGCATGGCCGCAGGTTATGGAATACTGGGGTGGCTGGTACGATCACTGGAAGGAACCACACAGCAGCTTCCCTCTGGAGACGTTCAGTGAGAATCTGCGAGAGATACTCGAGGCGAACGCGTCCGTCAACTTCTACATGTACCACGGCGGCACCAACTTTGGCTTCATGAGTGGCGCCGACAGCTACGAGAGCGAGCCGGTTTACCGGCCGACCGTCACCAGCTACGACTATGACGCGCCGCTGTCCGAGAACGGCACGCCGACGGCGAAGTATTATCGCGCGATCGAGCTCATGGAGGAGCTGGTGCCCGGGTTCCAGCACACCGCCGGGCCCTCCCCCGCAGCCACGGCGGCTGTGGAGTCAGCTAAAAGTCAGCGGTCAGTGGGCTCGGCCGAAAGCAGCGGGAAAGACGCCACGGAGGCTGCAGTGGCGAAGAATTCCGGTTCTCGGAGAGAGGGATCTGAGCACGACCGATGGAGCATGGTAGAGGCTCCTACGGCAGCAGAAGACTTTGAGCGGAGGGGAGATGAGGAAGATAAATCGGACAGGAGCTACGGACGGGTGGACGTGCGCGTGCAGATGTCGTTCGAAGAGATACTCGCGCGCGCGCCCTCGGAGCACCACGCTGAACCCATATCCATGGAGCTGCTTGACTGCAACGAAGGCTCGGGGCAGGGCTACGGCTTCATTCTCTACCGTGTGACGCTCTCGCCCGATGCCGGGGTCGTGACCCTGCCGGGCAGAGTGAGAGATCGCGCGCAGATCTGGCTGGACGGACATCACATCGCGATTATCGACTGGAGCTCGGTCGACTATTGGTTCCCCGTCGCCGCCACCGCTGCGAATCGCACGCTGGACATACTTGTGGAGAACATGGGCCGCGTGAACTACCAGTACGGCTACGATGTTCCCGATTTTGTCCGACTCGACAGCCAGCGGAAGGGCCTCGTCGACGGCGTGCGATTCGACAGTGTGCAGGCGACGAGCGACTGGCAGATATTCCCGCTAGAGTGGGATGTGAGCTTCCTCGAGGCTCTGGCGGCGCCACCTGCGCTCGTCGCCCGTGCCCGCCCGGCTTCTAATTCGTCCGCGGCGACCTTGCCGCGACCCGCGCTGTTTGTGGGGCACCTCGACGCAGGTTCGAGCCCGCGCGACACGTTTCTTCGGCTCGACGGGTGGGGCAAGGGAGTGGTGTTTGTCAACGACTTCAACATAGGTCGGTACTGGGAGGTGGGCCCGCAAGAGGAGCTGTACGTCCCTGCACCCTTACTGAGAAGCGGCAGCAATACCATACGCGTGTTTGAGCTTCATCATAGCAACACTCACGTGATGTTTTCCTAGTTCATCTGCTATATCCGTCTATGCAATAGTCATCGGGGCCTACACACCTTGTATGGGTGACTTTGTGTTAATCCCGAAGTAGCATCTAATGATCTATATTATGCAAATTTGCAAGTGTACTTATTGAATGTAAATTATGAACTGTAAACTACGGTTGACAATTCAAGTTTTAATCAAGCCATTCATTTATCTGCAGATGTTAGGTCCTGGGATGTGCCAATGAAAATGAAATCTATTTGATAGCTTGTTAGTATTGTTACCTGGTATAGGTAGGTGGTAGGTGTATGTTGTTATGACATTGTTGTTGACAGTTGTTAGAACTTAAACCAATAATGGCCTATTGTGACTGATAGATGGCGCTAGCAGGTCATCTCAGGGTATATGTATACATCCTGTGCTCCCTCTTGCGATACAACCAGCCCAGTAACTCGTATAATCTGTCGAGGTATATGTATAATTGTATATATATCAGAAGTAGATAATAGGGAATATATATGTATATATATATTATATACTTTACACCACGCGCACGAGTAGGGAGATAACTGAACAGATATGATCTAAACACCAAACTGTCAGTCTGAAAGAGACAAAACAAAATATTTAGTAGTTTTGGCCAATGCACAATGTTATCGCTAATTGTGTTGTCTTTTTTATATTGAGAGAGTTTAGATTTTGTTTAGATTTTAGAGATATTGAGATTTTATATTATATATAAAGAGAGTGGGTGGGAACGGGAGGTGGTTCATTCCCAGTTTTCTACTTAAAAAAATGCACCATTGCCCTGTTCCAAAGTCCACAATTTTGGCTTTCCTATGCCGGCTATGCCCGTGTTGACGTCTATTCCCGAATCACGAATATCTGGTTTCTTGATAATGGTCTAGCATCCCGAAAATAACTCCTCGATCGCCTCCTAAATAAATAATTATATACATAAGACAGGTACATAATAAATATATAATACATATAATGATATAAGCCTATATTCCTATATAAAATATTATTCATATATATCATATATATTCATAGAGTGCGTAAGTTATGTAACTTTTATTAAATTGTACTAAATAAATGTTTTAATTATAGAACCGTAATGTATGGATCATGCATTTCGTAACTTTTTGTAATAAGCTCGTACCCACGAGACAAAATAGAGGTATATCATAATCTCGGCTGCTGGATGACCAAAGGCAGCGGCGGATTTAGGGGGGAGGGGAACCGACCCGGCTCCTCTGAGTTCAGGCAAAAAAAAGAGAGAGAGCATACTTAAAACGGTACGCGTCACACAGATACATAGTTACACCATTTGCGGTATTTCGTTTCGTGTTTTTGCCCTGGACTGATTTCACTGGAAGCAGCCTGCCCTACGAGCAGACGCCGACACGTGTGGGACCAGTTCGATGTAACGATTCATTCCTGTTAGTAAGTCTCTCGAGGTTTTCTGCAGCAGTGACATGATATAAATTAAAGGGTTTCTGCAATATTGATCTGTGCCTTTTTGTGGCTGATACTATATCAGTGCACGTGTCGCTGATTGAGACATGTTACACATTACCAGCACATATTTTCGCTCGTGCCTAATTTCGCGGCAATCGTTTTTAATAAGTATTCACACTGAAAAACTGAATAGCTGACACTTGTAGAAGCATAATAATCTATATATATAAAGTTTAGTATAGTATATCAAATATATCTGTGGGCATATGGAATGATTCAAGACATGCAACTGTCTCTATTCCTAACTACAATGCCGAGAAGACACCAACAACACTGGTGAAGACACTGTCGTCATTTAGTCCCCAACTGTTCCCAAACGTCCATGCCATCCTGTGCCTACTTAGCAATTACGCCAGTCACTATAGTGCGACTGTTGAGCGCAGCAACTCGGCATTACGTCTGGTGAAATCTGACTACCGTAGCACAATGGGGGAGGATCGTCTGAACGCGTTGTTATTGCTATTTGTCCACAAAGACATCCAGCTGAATTACGAAGCCATTGTGGATGAATTTGCACGACGCGAGCCCAGAAGGATGCATTTTGCAAACCCCCTTCGCTAACGTTTGAAATTGTTGTAAAGTCTACTGGTTGAGCTTATATACATGGGCACCAATCACATTGTGTTGTCGATGTGATAAGGTAATTACAATGCCAATTCCAAATACATGTGATACTGTGTTTTGTTTTTATTTTGATTAGACTGGTTGTAAAATTAAACGTATCCTCTCGGTATAGAGGATATTCCGGACGCACTGTCAATGTTTAAATTTGTTTTAAACAGATTACAAACGGACATCGCTCACACAGGTGTATACTTCTGTAAATAGTGTCACGATGGTGCCATAGAAACGTGGATTTGGTCACACTGGTGTCTTTTTGTTAATACCCCCGTCCCACCGGACGGCGACCATCCACGACCGTACGGCGACCAGAAAATGTACAAGGTCGTCGGCAAACACGAACACAACGCGAGAAAAAGTCCCAACAAATTACAAACTTGAAAAAAACCGCGCTTTTACCGCGACCTGTGCGATCATACCGCGTTCTCACGGCGCGCCCGCCACGACCTCTCCGCGCTTATGGCGTTTCTATTGAGATTTATGGGCTTGGCAACGGCGATCACCGGCGTTCCCGCGGCGCTCTCACCACGCTCATGGGGTTCTTACCACGCGTCTTCTACGTGTATCGCGACTGCACGGCGACCTCACGGCGTTTCTACCACGTTCTCACGGCGACTATATAAGCTGGTCAGATTTTCGGAAATTTTAACTCTATAGTTGTGCGTTTGCTGAGTAGAAACACGATGCCGAAGAAACAAGCTACCAGAGGCCGAGGCCGTGGCCATGGCCGAGACAGATCGGCATGAAACAGATCGGCAGATCGGATGAGACAGATCCATGAATTCGCTGTTGAAAATGTTACCATTTTCGCAGCGTCTTTGCCACGCGTGTACTGCGCGTGTACTACTTTTATGGAGATGTTACGACGCTTGTCTCACGACCTTCGCGACCCCACCGCGTTCTCACCGCGTTCCAGGTCAGATCGCCGAACCTTGGCGTTTGTTTTGAACATGCTCAAAACAAACGCCGTGACTCGGCGATCATTGGCGACCATACCACGATGTCTGGCGATTCCACCACGCTTATACCACGCTTATGGCGACCTTAGCGCGCTCTGGGCCCATTTTCCGACGCCGTAGCAGCGCAGTAAGGACGCCACCCCGGTGTGACGGGGGTATAAGGAGGTCGGGATTGGGTACTGGTCGAGATTAGGTACTCTGACTTTAGTTCACTATATAGTTTTACCTGTATACGGTACGTAACACATAATTCAAGTCACTACAAGATAACACACATTTAGTGAGCGCGCGCGATAATAATTAACACAACAGATCAACTACATAATTACCAGTAAAAGATAAGCTTTATTTTTCTCACAAAAAAAATATTAAGAAAGAGACTTAGCAAGTCCAATGTGACAGATGCTACCAATAAAAATGCGTAATTTTGAAATATTCATGGAGATACATTTGGTAGTTAAAAGGCGAGAGAACGCATCTCCTGCCTTCTAGAATTCAACATTTTTATACTATCCCCGAACCCCTCTACTCAACAACGTGTTACACACGTCGCCCCCCCCCCCATCACAAAATCCTGGATCCGCCCCTGGAAGAAGTTGCGTGATACACGCTCACTACTTTACTACTTGCTTTTTATGCGTAAATTCAACGCGTGTTTTCACGAGTGTTGTCACCCGCCTTTATTGTACTTTATGGCATACGTAATTAAACAATTCCGGGCTGGATTGCACCGTACTGCGTACAACTTTCAAGAGACTTTTCGACAGTGGTAATTGGTAATGTTGTAGCCAGGGCTGCCACTCAAAATTTTTATTTCTACCTATCACGCATGCGCATTTCCACCTACTTTCCAACGCCCACCGGCCAAGTTTTCACACACACACACAGTCACCTTTCCCTTATAAAATCATGTAAATACTTTTGTTATGGATGTGTTTACCAGAGACTCCAACCCTTAGCATCTCATAAACTGTAGATTCTCTCGCCTGGACCACCTTCCAAACTGGAGAATTATAAAATAATGAGAAATGTGCGCGAAGTGCACATCACGATCGCGAAGCGTGAAGTCCCTTGCGGCCGGGGTCCAGGGGCCGCTTAAGGGCCCTGGAGTCTCAGGGGTTCTAGATGCTCTCTGGAGTCAAAGGCGTGTACAAGATTTATACCAGGGGGGTCTAACCGTAACCCAAAATTGTGAGCACGCGAAGGGGGGTCTGGGGGGCCCTCCCCCAATTTTTTTTTTAAATTAGACCCCCTTAGATGCGTTTTCTGCGCGAGCAGGGGGGAGGGGGGGGGTCCGGACCTGTACACGTCAGGTGCAATCTAGCTGAACCTTATTTTAAGAGCATTTCATCCATAACCACTGATCAATGATCTTTTAGAGATCATTAATACGAGAATTTCTTGAGAATTTTTAAAGATTTTTCGATATTTATTGAAAAAGGTTACAATTTTTGAAAATTCAAAAATCCCCTACTTCCCCCTACAAATTGTCGTTTTCACCGTAGGTATCCCCTATCCCCTACGGAAGGCTAAAACCCCCTACCGTAGCCGTAGGGGATTTCCCCTACGAGTGGCAGCCTTGGTTGTAGCCTACGGTTGCCTGATGGCGCCACTATCGCGGTCAGTTCAGAATGTCAACATAGTAAATGGCGCGAGCGGTGAGTTGGGAGGTGGCTGCAGTAGCAATGATTTAGTTCGCCTTGAACGATTCTGGTATCAAATATAGTGTGCACAGGCAAAATTGTCTACATGACCTCGGGATCGTGTGTGTTGGCAAAGTTGCTACGTTAGAAGCATAGATTGGCATATATGCAGTGCCATAATCCAAGCATGATTGCCGTAACATTACTAGTACTACCACCACCACCAGCTAGCACACAAAAGAAACGCTGAGCTAATTGAGCAAACCAGTTCTACCTGCACTGCAGGCTGCAAACAGGAGTATGAGTATGAAAAGCACGAGTGAGTCGAGTTACGGATCCATAACTGGCGAAGTGCAGCATCTGTACTGCATCTCGCACTGGTGACGTGATCTGACCTTTCATTTCCAAAGAATATGAGACTATTTAAAAGAATACGCGTAAGTAGTATAATTAGCATGAGTTATTAAGTAATAAAGTGCACGTATTTCTGGCGTTATATAGCCATAGAATACATATATCTACGGTATTATCTGTGTGATTACTTGTGTTTGCCTGTACTGTAGTAATACTGTCTTGGTGTCTACAGATAGCTCTACCAGCAGTATAGCCCCTTCGCTCCCGCTACAGGTAGCCAATGAGCTACACCGGTAGAGCTAGTCTACAGACTACAGAATGCATGGTTATACGTGGTCACGACCTGACCACTCGCAGCAATGTCATGTCCACCTCTACCACACTCACACTACAGCACACGCACTAGCTCTAGAACTATAGCCCTCCGCTCCGCCGCAAGCCTGCAGCCCTGCGGTGGAGCGGAGGGTTATCGTTCTAGAGCTACACACGCACAAGCATGCACGCACGCACGCACACACACACACACATATTCTCAGGAGTCTATCAATATTAATATTGATAGACTCCTGATATTATCACGAACATATCTGTATAGCTACAGTTTGCAAATATGTTTATGATTTTTTATGCATTATTTAACACGGTCAACGCTGCCGGTAATAACAATGCACCTATACCGCCCTGCGCTGGGATTTTCCCGTTTTTCCCACGTATTCACTTATTGATTTACCACATTTCCTTTGCGGGAAAGCTAACCAAACGGACACATTTACTCTGCATGAGTGTTATCTCACCCTTACACGTTCAAATAGTATGAAAATCGGTCCCCTTCATAATAATAAATTGATGAAAAGAGGGCAAAAACGGGCACTTCGTGCATTTTCGTCTCAAATGCCACCGCACCGGTGGATTTTTGCGAGTTTGTTATGATATCATTCGACAGTATACTATTTTTCGAGTAAGAAATGTGACAACGCTTTGTGTTTCTACATGCAAAAATACCTCGAAATTGTATATATTACACAGTTATTATATTATATACCGTTAAGAAAACGGTAACAAACCTTGTTTCGATCTACGCCTTCTAGTTTACCTTCTAGTTTTACGAATTTACCTTGAGTCTCAAAACTCCTAATTTCACGTTCAAATCAACGGTAAAGCATTGTATTCTTTAGTTCATGTAAGACTGGGGTAATATAGACTGTCCCTGTTTAATTTCTTGGTAGGTAGTGCCTGCCATCTGTTGGAAATCAGAGTAACAAAATCCAATAATATATCCACGAGCTGACTCGTGGATATACTGTAGCCTACAATACATAGTGCATAGTTACAGTTGATGGCATTCATTATTTGTAGTGTTAGAGATGCTCTACCTGTGTAGAATTTCGCTCTGTCACAGCATGGCCCGTGTCAAGTAACGAAAGGCTACACGGGTAGAGTTACTAGAAGTGAGAATCATAGAATATGAATATAAAATACACCATTTGGCCAGTAAATGCTTGAGCTTTCCAAGCTTCAGTTCACATACCATGTTGGTGCATCACGTGTACTGATATTTCCCCAGTTCTTCCTCCTAGTTCATACTTCCTCAGTCAGACCACCCAGCAAAGTGTTCAACACTACAGCAGGAAATGGGGACCAATTTACTATTGGCCATACTAACCACAGCTGCTGTATGAAAATGTCCAATTTAGCTATATATATCTAAATCCCTTCACACACAGGAGAGTTACAACAGAAGTGTAATGGTGAAACAATGATTATTTTGTGATAAATATAAGTTAGTATAGTTACCAGATTGTCAACAATAGCACAAGATTTTACAAGCTAGAAAGATATCAGCTAGATATATAGCAAGTTTATGTAAGAAAGATGATCTTCCACAGCCTCAGTTGACAGATTTATATATGGTACACATTTTCTAGTCAATTATAGTGCAAGGGAGCAGAATTAAATGTTTGAAAGCCTCATTGATTTATAAATTGACTTGTGTTGTAAGCTCCTTGCTGCTATTGTAGTATAGTAGTTTTGGGATGTGATGTGATATCATTTTGACTTTTAGTTGATGTTCCAATTGACAAGAATTCTGCAAAAGTGCAAGCTAGATTAATCCAATCTAAAGATCTCATAATGGATCTTGTCAGGCGAGAATTGTATTTAGTTGCTTTTTGTTTGATCCTATTTCCATTCTATTGTGACTATTTTCCAAATATAAAGGCAGCTGCAGAAATTGCTGCAAGTGGTGACGCTAGCAGTTGTCATCATGTTAAATTTAAAGATGCTTTATATAAATGATATGGGTATGGAGGACTGTAAATGCATACATGTGTATCGATTCAAGAGTACATAATAGAGATTTCTATCATGTATCATCTAACATCCTATAGCTGATTTCCATCATTTCTTTCAATAGAGATCTCTATTATGTACTCTTGATGTGTATGTGTCACATGTAACATGACCACTGTATAACCATGTCTAATTAGGATTCGTAGAGTATTCAGAGGGGGATTATATATTAATTAAACAGACTTTAAACTGCACACGAAAGCAAGTTATATTTAGTTTATGTAACCACCGCGTAATGAGGATTTATGAGCTGGTAGCAGTCCTTGTGTTTTGGAAAAGGCAGGCGAGTGAACAATCGCACACCTTGGCTCGCCGAGGTGTGTGATTTGCATCGGAGTGCCCACAGGGCCTGAGGCAAACTAGGGGGGTTCGGGGGCATGCCCCCTCGGAAACAATTTGAAAACTAGACTTCATGAAATGCCATTTCCAGCATTTTGGGATAAAAATTCGCTCTGCATTTGTACTCTTAATTTTGACATTTTTTAGGTGTTTTTTTTTCATCTAACAAAATATCAGTTCTTGAACATGTGGATAACTTGAATCACACATTTAGCATGTTTAGTCAAAAAGGAACAACACTCAATTTTCCAAAGCAGACTATTAAAACTTTATCTAAAAATACAACCAATCACATTCGTCGTTCTAGAGCGCTTTGCGACTGTCGTTATAAACATGTGAACCGGCTTCCGGCAATGTCCGTGATGTTTACAACCGCTTGCGTTTATCTTCGAGTTTATAAGTTGAATTAATGGAAAAAAGAAAGAAAAAAGGTGCGCGTTTTTTCGCACTTCTCCTGATCAATCGAGGCGCGCGATGGCGCGCGAGCGCGATCGCGCACCTTAAAACACAAGGTCTGTGATAGCCTATTAGAGTTTAAACTATGTACAAATTATTAAGTAGAATTGTTTCTAAATTGTCTATTGCTAAATTGATGACGTCATGCCCTACTTTATATTATTGCGAAAATATAGAGACAAATTCATATCATGGAAAGTAAAATTTCTCCATAGATGCGCAGAAGATGCATATATGGTACGACATACGGGCGCACAGAATGCGCTGGTAATTGAAGCATTTTGCAATGGTTTCCTAGCGAATTTGTTTGTAAAATACCTTTCACATGCTCATAGCATTAGATATCGCGTTTTACTTTTGGTTTGAGTGTTTAGTTTCTGTTCTTCCTTTTGTGCTCATGCTGCCATCTCTAGGCGCTGGAACAATCCGAGCTGGAATTGCAATATGCTTCCTAGTTTGACGCGACTGTGAAACTAAACGTTTGAACATCTATAACGCCCGTACGCCTGTTTCTTTGAGCCACCTGAAGCCGTGTGTAGTCTGACCCAGCTGTCCCAACTGTTAGAAGCCCCGTCTGCTAATCGGCTGCGTTACCATTCGCGATATAACTGGTAGAAATAAGACATTCTTACAATACTCGAAATTTGTTGTGCCCTCAACAAAATCGACGCGCTCAAATGCAGTCACTCAAATGGAATTTTAGAACTGTCTTCTTACCAGCCGCTTCATATACGTGCGCAGCGATTCTGCGAGCCACCGATTCATTGCCTACGTCGCCAGCAGCTGTCGTGTGTGGCTGTGCGCGGAGAGTTGTTCGAAGGAGTATGCCACGTGCTTTGCTGTGTGTGGCGATTGCAGGAAGAGCAGATATAACGACTTCAACATATATTTATAACGACAGATATAACGAGCATAACGACAGATATAACTATAATTTAGGGTATAGCTAAAAGTAAAAGCAGATCGGCACTCGCCTGCTTGCTTTCTCATCTTAGGCCATCCTTAAAAAAATGTATGTTTGCTGTCCTCCGACCGACCCACGAAAATAGCTGCGACCCAAAAGTTTTTTTTCACATTTTGGGTTCCATTATTTGTTTTGTTTTGTTTTGTTTATTTTGTCTATATAAATATAAATATAAATATAAATCTTCTACTGGTATTCTGGAAGGTGCATATACATTCCTCATAGTCAAGACTGAAACACAAAGCATGTGTGGAAAACACGAGGACAGACTTAAAATAACTATTATGCCTCACAAAAAAAGAAGAAGACCTACCTACCTACCCACTAAAAAAATAATGGGTTGGGGGACAGCAAACATAGAATTTTTTAAGGATGGCCTTATCAACGAGATGAATATAATATATACATGTGCATAATACGATAACATGTGTGCGCGTGTGTGCACAAGTGTTGATCTTCTTAGGACATTCTTCTGAATCCCCCCCTTCCCAACTTGTGCCAGTATGGCTGTAGGTGCGCCGTTGTATTGCCAGGTAACTGGTAAAATTGTGGGCGTTCGATATCGGGAAGGAATGACGCTCGTATAAATAGTGATAGACCGGCATGATCTCAGGCAGATATCTGACGACCTGATTTACTTCCAGACATGACCCACACTATCTAGACTATAGGACGGCGGTGGTTACTGTAAGACATAGTTCCCACTTATTACATTTCTAGAATGAAACGTAATATTAGCTTATACAGTAATTAGTATACTCGAGTAATTACTACTCATTTCATTTGTCTCTTAATATTACATGTAAAAACGAATTATCTGTTAGTGCGTGGGAGTAATCCTTCTGTTCAGAAAAGCTATATACAATATAGGAATGCAGCCCTGCTGCACTCCGCTGCAGGACTGCCATGACCAGGCTTGCCGGAATCCCATCATTTCCGGATCAGGGATCCCTTACTTTCGATCGGAGCTGTAAA